TTAGTCGTAGTAGGTAGTCGTCGTCGGTAGTAGTAGTTAGTAGTAGTAATAATATTAGTAGCAGCTAGCAGTAGTCGTAGTAGTAGTAATTAGTAGTAGTAATGAGTAGTAGAAGTGTATTGTTATAGTAGTAGTAGTAGTAGTAGTAGTAGTAGTAGTGTTAGTAGTAGTAGTCGTAGTAGTAAGTAGTAGTAGTAGTTGGTAGTGGTAGTGGTAGTAGTAGTAGTAGTAGTAAGTAGTCGTAGTAGTAGTAGTAGTCGTAGTAGTAGTGTAGTCGTGGTAGTAGTAGTAGTGTGAGTAGGTAGTAGTAGTAGTAGGGTAGTAGGCAGTAGTAGGAGTAGTAGGAGTAGTCTAGGGGTAGTAGTAGTAGTATAGTAGTAGTAGTAGTAGTAGTAGTAGTAGTAGTTAGTAGTAGTGGTGGTGTAGTAGTAGTGGTTAGTAATACTGTTAGTAGTAGTAGTAGTAGTAGTTAGTAGTAGTAGTAGTAGTAGTAGGTTTTTTAAAAGGTAGTTAGGGAGTTAGTATGAGTGTAGGAGTAGTAGGATATTCGGAGTAGTAGGGTAGTAGTTAGTAGTTAGTAGTAGAGTAGTAGTAGTCGTAGTAGTAGTAGTCGTAGTATAGTAGTCGTAAGAATAGTAGTAGTAGTAGTAGTAGTAGTAGTAGTAGTAGTTAGTAGTAGTAGTAGTAGTAGTAGTCGTAAGTGTAGTAGGAGTAGGTAGTAGTAGGAGTAGTAGTAGTTGGTAGTAGTAGTAGTAGTAGTAGTAGTCGGAGTTAGTAGTATTAGTAGTAAAGTAGTAGTCTAGTAGTAGTAGTAGTCGTAGTAGTAGCTAGTAGTAGTAGTAGTTTAGTAGTATAGTAGTAGTAGACGTGATCGTAGTGGAGGACGCGGAGGAGGAGGAGGAGGAGGAGGAGGAGGAGGAGGAGGAGGAGGAAGAGCAGGAGGATGAACCGTAGCCAGCGCTGACTGGCAGTTCCGCAGCTGGAGGGCCTGCCGTGCTGGCGGGGGCTGGCTCTCGCAGGGTTTGGCGGCTCTGCCGCACCCGCCGCACGCGCGCGCCGCCCGCGCGCGTGGGCGGAGGTCGCGGCGACGCGGATCGCCGAGGAGCGTGGCCTCTTCGGCCTCGGCCCCCCGCCGCGGCCCGCGCGCCCTCGCCCCCCCCTGGCGCTTTTTGCAGGGAGGGGGTCGCTCCCGCGTCGGCGGCTACATTGGGTGTGGTTGCGCCAGGGTGCGGTTTGCCATCGGCGATACTGGGGCTTGGGGGGGGGGGGGCACGGTCCGCCGGAAGTCTGCTGAGCCCTCGTCGGGGTGCGGCAGAGATCTCTGTCGAGGTCCGCGCCCGCCTCTCCCAGGCGCGTGTTGCAAGCTACACCCTCTGCAAACCGTTCCCTTCGGAGTCGCCGTCACTGGATCGCCCCTCCCAGTGGAAGGCTGTGCGATCCTACCCCCCGTTACCGGGAGGGGCGATCCACTGGACCCACTCGGCGATCCTAGCCCTCCTCCTAACGCTGTGTTGCCCTTGAGGGGCAGCACAGCTTTTGGGGAGGGGTAATCGTTCGAGGTTCGGGGTTTGGTGTTTCCAGGCATTTGTGCAGCTTTTCCGCGGCTTTCCAGCCTCTGGATGCTCTCTGGCAGCTGCGCCTCGCCGAGAGCGTTCCAGGGTTGCCCAGATCTTCCCGAACGGCCGCTGGAGGCCTGAGTTGTGGCACGAAAGCCAAAAGGCAACGACAGAGGGGGACGGGCTCCGGGAGGGGCGCATCGACCCGGGATCGCCAACTCATCGCCGACAGTGGCCCGACAGCCCACACCACCAAGGAGCGCGCGGCTTTGCCATCGAGGCCAACCGCCGATGTCTCGGCAGTGTATCGCCTATTCCAGGTCGACGCTTGACCCCCCCACTGCTGCCCGGCGAGAAGCATCAGTGGCAAGCGGGCGTCGTCTTTCGATCTGAGCCTGCCGCCAGTGTTGTGTTGTCGAGTTCTCACTTCAAAAGACTGAACTGTTCTTGATCCCCCCCTTCTCGGTGCACCTTCTGCAGTTTCTTCATGACGGTGCTTCTCCAGGGGCTCGCACTATTTTTTCACAAGGGTAAGTCTTGGTCCTCGAACTGCGTTGTTGGCCCCTGGTTTGCAACGACAGCGGCACTTACTCACAATGTATTTCAAGTTCGCGCTCTCGCGCGGGACTGTACTAAGTATGATACATTCAAGAATCGCGCTCTTGCGCGGTACTTCCTCACAGTGCCTCCTAGATTCAGGAACCACGCTCTTGTTTTTGGATTTCTTCCCGATTTACTCGGGAGTGTCGCTCAGGCGATCGCAGACATGAATCAGGGGGGCGTGGATCGGCGACGGGTCCCCTTTGCCATGGGAGACCGCGGATTCCCGCCGCCGAGCGATGCGGTGCCGGCTGCCTTTTGGGGAGTGCTCCTCCCCATATCCGTGGACTTGGCGACCGCGCGCCAGGTCCATGGCTCGCGCATCGTGCTGTCCACCACCACCACCAGAAGTCGGAGGGTGAGGGGCTCCTCCTCCTCCTCTTCCTCCTCCTCCTCCTTCTCTTCGTCCTCCTCCCTCCTCCTCCTCCTCCTCCTCCTCCCCCTCCTCCTCCTCCTCCTCCTCGTCCTCCTCCTCCTCCTCGTCCTCCTCCTCCTCCTCCCCCCCGTCCAACTTGTGGTGGTGGTGGTGGTGGAGAACAGTTCCGTCAGACTCGCTCGCTGCTCGCTCGAAGCTTCCCCGCGACTCCTGCTGGGCTGACGCCGCCGCGCCCCGCCCGCTCGAGCGGGCCGTCTGGGCCCGTCCGCCCTCGCGGGCCCGTGAGGGTCTGCCCGCCCGACCTGCCCGTCAGCATCGTGTCAGCTCTGCACGAACGAGATGGGTGCAGTCGGGGTGCTGAAGAGGGAACCCTTTTCGTTGGGAAGGGGCTCCGTGTTCCCTGATTGTTTCACAGCTTGCCTTAGGTTTTCCTCAGGTTTTCGATGGGAAATCGAGTTTGAACTGATGGGAAAAGGGGCCTCGTTCCTTATTTAGGGTTCCTTAGGTCAACGCCCCGACTGTACAGTGCTGGGAGATTGGTTTTGAATCCGCAACACGGCACCGACAAGTGGGATTTCCCAGGGGGCGTCTTCCGAGACAGGCCTGCCCTCTTCGATCCCTTCCTTGGGCGCGTCTGCTAGACGGCTTCGCTCGCCAGAGTGCTCGGTATGGGGGGGATGTTCTGGTCTTTACCCGACACGAACGGAATGTGTACGGAAAGAATGCGTAGAATGCCCAACAACATTTCCTGTTCATTTTGAACAGGATTCGCTGTCCGTGCCGCCGCGGCCTGTGTCCATCTGAGACAGAAGGCGGCCTGCCCAACAGCGGCCGCTGTCGGTTTGGGGCAACATTTGTTGTTGGGCATTGTACCAATTTTTTCCGTACCCAGTTCGGGCGTCCAAATCACCGGCCCCCATCCCCTCGAGCAGTGGCGAAGCGTCCCGGCGCGCCTATAGGCCTACCAGACAATGTTCTATGTGGTTTCCACGGAATGATCTCCGAACATTTCTGGCCGGGACCGTCCTGGTTTAACACATCGAGTTTTTATTCGAAGAACAGTTCTATTGTTCTTGGAACATTTTGCTGGATTCTGAGAACATGTCGTGGTAGGCCCATAGGAAAGCGGGACGGTCGGTCCCTGCTCAATCCCCATCCTCATCCCATTCGAGACCCCCACCAAATTACCACCCCACTTGGGGATACACCCCTCGAAACCCGAGGGGAGCGGCCCACATCCCCCTCTGGAAGGGGTAAATCGGCCAGCGGGGCCCAGGCCACGCCGCTGGGGATAGGGATCGGGTAAACGATGCTCAGCCCGTCTGGCATCTACCTCTTGTGCTCTTGCTCCGAACCCTCCTGCAAGTTTCTCTCGTGCTCCATCCTTCTCCCTCCTCCTTGTCTCTTCCCTCCTTCCTTCCTTCCCCTGTTTGAGGGTCTGCGCCAACTGCACGTGGCAGGCAGGGAAGATGTACCCCAAAGAGGGGCACGATCGAAGGCGAAGAGGACGGGTATCGAGGGTTGGGGACCTACGTGGTGCATGGCGCGCGAGCAATTCAAAGTGGACAGTCTTGGAATTTCTGTGGATTTTTCATTTCTCATGGACAAGTATGGTTGGTCCCCCCTCTGGTGTATGTCCTGGGGCTCGCACCGTATTTCTTGAAATGTGAAGTTTGGGTCTTTAAACTGCGTTGTTGGCCCCAGGTTGACGACGACAACAGCGGCTCCCGCCTGATACCTCCTCACAATGTATCTCAAGTTCGCGCTCTAGCGCGGGACTTCCTCATAGCCTGGCGGGAACCGTGCTCCCGCGTGGCACCTCTTCGCAATGTACTGCGGAGCCGTGCCCCCAAGACTCAGCGCGGGCGAGTTGTAGCCGCGAGCCTCGAGATCTCTTCGAGTCAGTCTTGCGCCGAGATCTACAAGGTCAGTCTACACGAGCGCCAGGGATCATCCCCATTTGCTGCATCATCATCGCCATCATCGTCAGAATTTAACGATCGCCGCTTTCCCCGGGAAAAGCGTTGATTATCCCCGCCAGACCCCCGACCTTAACCATCCCGCGGGGATTATCATCGGGAGCGCGGGGTTATTTGTGTGTCTTTGGGCGTTTCGATCGCCCCCCGCAGCCCTGTCGGCCCCCGGGAAGAACTGGCGGACCTTATCCTCGGCTAACGGCTGCGGGAAGGCCGGCGGGGACCAGCGGGGGGAAAACGAGGGCGGCTCCGCCGGCGGACGTACGAAGCGCCGCCCCCAAGAGATCAGACTATGACAAAATACCCCTACCTCTACCCCTCTCCCCGTTTTCCCTTTTTTGGGTTTCCTGCGCGGCCGTCGTCGCCACTGCTGGATTCGCTTTTGAGATCCTGGTCAGAACGCGCCCGCTCGGAGTGGATTGGAGTCAGCGGCGCCGTCGCTTTCGCTGTCATCGCCATCGACATTGTCCGTATGAGCATCATCTGGCGGCCAGTGGCTCGAGCCTCTTGGCTCGGGTGGGCCTATCGCGCACGCGCGGTCTGCTGACGTTTTTTTCCCCATATGGTATCTCGGCAGACCGTTCCGCCGGGTGCCTTCGGCCTCCCGGACGCGCCAGGCATCTCGGTTGGAGATGAGGTACTCGTCGCGGCCACTTACAGGGGCACCGTCCGCTTCAAGGGCGAGACGGAGTTCGCCCCCGGCGAGTGGGTGGGTGTGGAGTCCGGGCGATGAGAAACATGCACGCGCACCGATACTGTCCGGGGTCATCCTGGACCCGGGCTCGGTGCACATGCCCCTTGGCCAAGCCAGGAGGGCTCGTGTGCCGATCCCCGACTCTGGGACTGGGCTGGCCAGGGGTCGGTGCACGTGCACATTCGTAAGCCCAGACCTCTCTGGGGGTGCGTTCTGACAAGGATTTCGAGGCGACTCCAGTGATCAGAGGCTGCGAGAAAATTGTATCAGTATTGTTGTTTGCTGTTTTCGGTCTCTGGGAGCTCTCAACGGTCCCCGGGATGGTCAAACATCGTTGCAAGACGAAAAGCCAGCCCTCGGGAAGCTGTCCAGACCTCCAGGGACCCACGCATTGAACCAATTAGAGTGGTTCGATGATTGGGAATTCAGTGGTGTCGAAGGTACGTAGCGATATTGGTACCCTTTCCTCCTCCGATTTGTGTTTGCTAAGTCGGCTTACGCCATTCCGCCGACCCTCTATATTAGTGAAGAGAATCCGTCAAGAGTCGTGGTATCGTGCCTTGCCTATGAGTCAGGGGCCTCGGGGATGCATACGAGGGTTTCCTGGAATGCCTCTCAGGGGCCTCTGGGCGGGCTCCTGGGGCCTCTCAGGGGCTCCCTGGGGGCCTCTTGGGTGCCTCTTGGAAGCCTCTGGGGGCCTCTTGTGGGCGCCTCGCGGGTCACTGGGGCTCCCGGTGCCGACCTGCGCTCTGCCTTTCCCCAGGAGCTCCTGGAGGCCCAGGGCAAGAACGACGGCAGCGTGCGGGACGTGCGCTACTTCGAGTGCCCGCCGCTGCACGGCCTCTTCGTCCGCGAGGGGGTGCTGCGTCGCACGGAGACTGGTGACGCGGGCAGCCTTCGCGTCTCGGTGGGCCAGGCCCCTGGCTGGAGGGACGGGGAGGAACAGCGCGGGGGAAGGATTGTGGGGGTGGTGGTGATGATGCTGCTGATAATGATGATGATGATGCTGGTGCTGATGATGATGCTGATGGTGGTGATGCTGACTATACTGATGATGATGGCGACGATGATGATGATGATGATGCTGATAGTGATCTCGACGATGCTGATGCCTATGCTGACCCTGATACTGCAGCCGATGATGATGCTGATCCTCATGCTGCTGCTGCTGTTGATGATACTGTTGCTGATGATGCTGATTCTGACGAGGTTGATGATGCCGATGCTCGTGATACTGATGATGCTGCTGTTGATAATGATGATGATACAAATGGTAATGATGATGATGATGATGATGATGATGATGCTGATGATGATGATGATGATGATGATGATGATGATGATGATGGTGGTGATGATGATGATGCTGAGTATGATGATGATGATGATGCTGATGATGATGGTGATGGTGGTGCTGGTTGTTTGTGGTGGTGGTTGTGGTGATTATACTGGTGATGATGTTGATGATGATGATGGTGGTGATGATGATGATGATGATGATGATGCTGTCGCTGACGATGAGGTTGAAACTGGTAGGGGGTGATGACACTGCTGATGATGAGGGTAACGTTTGTGATTATGATCACGACGATGCTGATATTGCCGACGACGACGATGGTGGTGATGACGACGATGACGACGATGACAATAACGATGACCATGACGGTGACGAAGACGATGACGATGCTGTTTATGATAATGATCACGATGCTGATTATGATGATGATGCTGATGCTGATGTTGATGATGATGTTGATGATGCTGATGATGATGAGGGTTACGATGATGCTGCTGCTGATGATGATGTATCTGATGATGGCGCTGATGATGCGGATGCTGATGTTACTGATGGTGCTACTGATGCGGATAATGTTGTCGATGCTGACTTTGACGGTGATGATGATGTTGATGATGGTGCTGGTGATGATGATGATGATGATGATGATGATGATGATGATGTTGATGCTGGTGCTGATGATGATGCTGATGCTGATGGTGATAATGTTGATGCTTAATTATGCTGATGCTGATGCTGATGCTGATGCTGCTGATGATGATGATGATGATGATGATACTAACGCTGCTGATGATAACGGTGATGATGGGGATCATGATGATGATGATGACGATGATAATGATCATGCTGACGATTACGATGATGATGATACTGACGATTATTATGATGATGATGGTAATGATGATGCTGATGATGCTGACGATGCTGATGGTGATGATGATTACGATAGCGGTGGTCATGATCATGATGGTGAGATGAGGATGATGAGGATGATGATGAGAATTCTTATCATGTTGATGATGATGATGATTGTTATGATGATGATGATGATGATGATGATGATGATGAACATGATGATGATGATGATGCTGCTGCTGCTGCTGATGATGATAATGCTGCTGCTGATGATAATGATGCTGATGTTGATGCTGCTGCTGCTGATGATGATGATGCTGATGCTGATGCTGCTGCTCATGATGATGATACTGATGCTGATGATGCTGTTGATGATGATGATGCTGATGATGATGATGATGGTGGTGATGGTGATGATGATGATTACCATGATGCTGATGCTGATGATGCTGCTGCTGCTGCTGATGATGATGATGATGACGATGATGATGATGCTGATTATGATGATGATGATTATGATGACGATGCTGATGATGATGATGATGATGATGATGATGCGGATGATGATGCTGATGATGCTGCTTATGATGATGCTGATGATGATGATGCTGATGATGATGATGATGGGATGATGATGATGATGATGATGATGATGCTGCTGCTGCTGCTGCTGCTGATGATGCTGATGATGATGATGATGATGATGATGATGATGATGCTGAGAGGAGGAGGAGGAGAGGAGGAGGAGGAGGGGAGGAGGCGGAGGAGGAGGAGGAGGAGGAGGAGGAGGAGGAGGAGGAGGAGGAGGAGGAGGAGGAGGAGGAGGAGGAGGAGGGAGGAGGAGGAGGAGGAGGAGGAGGAGGAGAGGAGGAGGAGGAGAGGAGGAGGAGGAGGGAGGAGGAGGAGGAGGAGGAGGAGGAGGGAGGAGGAGGAGGAGGAGGAGGAGGAGGAGGAGGAGGAGGAGGAGGAGGAGGACGGAGGGGAGGAGGAGAGGACGAGGACGAGGACGAGGAGGACGAGGACGAGGGACGAGGACGAGGACGAGGACGAGGACGAGGACGAGGAGGACGGACGGACGAGGACGAGGACGAGGACGAGGACGAGAGGACGAGGACGAGAGCGAGGAGGAGGAGGAGGAGGACGAGGAGAGGAGGAGGAGGAGGAGGAGGAGGAGGAGGAGGAGGAGGAGGAGGGGGAGGAGGGGGCTATCGAGAGGTGGACAAGGAGAAGAGGATGAGGAGCAACAGAGGGTGGAGCAAGTGATGGAATCGAGAAGGAGGAGGAAGAGGGTTTTAAAGGATGAGGATGAGGAGAGCAAGGAGGAGGAGGAGGCGGAGGAGGAGGAGGAGAAGCAGGAGGAGGAGGAGTTGGAACAGGTGGAGGAGGAGGAGGAGGAGGAGGAGTTGGAAGAGGTGGATCGAGGAGCCCGGTGAGGAAGGGGAGGTGAAGGAGGAGGTGGAGGAGAAGGAGGAGGCGGATGAGTTGCAGGAGCAGCAGGAAGGGGCGGTGGCAGAGCAGGATATGAGGCGGACAGAATCACGAGGAGACGATGACGGAGGAAGTCCGCTCATCGCCGTTTCTCCTCGACTCCTCCCATGGGTCCATCCTTAGCGGTGTCTCATCGCCGTTCGATTTCTGACGGCCCCAGGGCCCCACACATGCTTCCCTGGATGCCGAACACAGCGAAAAGCTTGCTCGAATTGATGAACGACGACAGCGGCGGCAGGGATGACGGCAACAGCGGCGGCGACGGCGGCGGCGGGGCGACGGCGGCGGCGGGGCGGCGGCGACGGCGGCCTCCGAGAGCCTCCGAGAGCTTCCGAAGAGTAGCTGGAGCCTTCGAGGACCTCAGAGCCGTCAAGCATTACACCCTGTCGGCTCAGTATCCTAAAAAGCATGCTCATGCAGTACAGTGGAGGCCCATGCCACGAAGCACCCTGCTTGCCGCCAGGGAGCCCTGGGTTTCTTGGGTCTCGAGGGTGTTGCTGTGGAGAGCGTGACGTGCCCGCACCAAAAAAATCAGTGGACGTCCTGGGGTTGTCAGGGTTGGGTTTCTTGTGGAAGCTTTCTTGTGGCCGAACCCCTACTGTAGCCACCCTATCGTTCAGTCGGGTGTGCCCCCCATACAGGGGGATTTTGGACGAATAATAAAAAGTACCCCCAAAGTGCTTCCGAAGAGTTAAAAAACTAGTCCAACGTCGCCCCCAGAGTATTTCTATACATATTTTCGAGTATTCCTCCTGTAGATGTGTCAGGGGACACGCCCGACTTGACCCTATCGGTGCCCCTGCTGCACAGCGAGCCCTGCGCACTGCCGTGGCGCAGCGGGAGGCCGCACGGCAGGCCGCACGGCCGGACCGCGCGGCAGACCGCACGGCAGGCCGCGCGGCAGGCGACCCTGCGGGAGGCAGGGCGGGGCGACGCAGGGCCCGATCCTTCCGGGGACCCTCCGGCGCGGCCTCCGGAGACCCTCCGACGACCCTCCGGATCGGGAGCGAAAGAAGGACGTACATGCACACGAGTCCACGCTGGTTTTGAGAGTACGCATTGCGCAGATGTTCGTATGACGCGGCCGGTCTCGCGGATCGAGGGGCCGTGTTCATGTGCGTAGCTGGGCGCGTACGTCCTTTGTGGGCTCCCAAAGGCCTGGTGCAGGAGGGTTCCTAAGGGTTTTTTTAGTTGTGGATGGGGTCCTCCATTCTCCAGGAGGGGTCCCTCAGGGGCTTCGCACCCCCTGTTTTGACGAGGTTCCGAGGCCCCTGCAGGGGGGGGCTCTCAGGAAAATCCCCTCCCCCAAATCCCCCTTTGGAACCCTCTGGTGGTGAGCCTTTCTTTTTTAATGCGAAGGCCTTGCGGCTGGTGCCGCCGACCCTGAAGGTGAGGACGCTGACCACGACGAGGTAGAGGAAGGAGAAGTAGGACGAGCAGGAGAGGAGCCGCATGAGGAGGACCCTCTGGCGACCTCCGGAGACCCTCTGAAGACCCTCCGAACATCTCCGAAGGGCCTGGTGAGCGTCTTTTTCTGCCTTGTTTTGCCGATCGGCGCGGGCCCCCCAACCCCCCCACTCCCCTCCCCCCCTCGTGGAGTAGATCTTGGCTGTTTCTTGGCGCCCGTTTCGAGCAGGTGGAGCCTCCCCCATACGGGACGCCCTGTTGCAAGCAGTTGCATGAAGCAGAGGCCCGGAGCCAGGCCCCCCCCCCTCGCCCCCCCCCTTCCGCCCAATGCCGAAACGTCGAATCGAAAAGCGCTCACACGGGCCATGCGAAGGACTGCGCCGCGCCGCCGGAGGCGGACAGCGCGAAGCACAGGCCCAGAGCCAGGCCCCCCCCCCTCGCCCCCCCCTTCCGCCCGATGCCGAAAAACGCCGAATCGAAAAGCGCTCGGGCCATGCGAAGCACCGCGCCGCGCCGCCGGAGGCGGACAGCGCCAGCGACAGCGACGAGGCGGAGAACGACGAGCTGCCCGGCCCGCCCGGGCGCATCTCGCAGTGCCGGCGCGGCGGCGTCAGCGCCGAGGCGGCACGGGCGCGTCTCTGCTCCGGGCCTCCCAGGTGGGGTCCGAGCAGTCATCAGCCACGCGCACAAAGGGGGGTGGGGGAAGGGGGGAGGGCTTCTGAGAAGCACCCTTTTGCTTCTTCGAAGGCGCGGGCCTCATCTGTAGACGTCAGGCGGGCGCCTTGTGAGAAGCAGCCTCCTTCTGAGAAGTCCCCCCTCTCTCCACCCCCCTGTGCGCGCCGCCAAAATGTGATGGGGTCGGAGGATCGCGCCGCATCGCCGATGCATCGGTGATGCGGCCGATTTTCTCCACGCCGATGGCCCCGATGCCTCGCCGATGTCGCCGATGCAACGCCGATGCATCAGCGATGTGTCGCCGATTCATCGGCGATTCGGCGCGATCCTCCGACCCCGTCTACTCGGACCCCATCTAGGATGCCTCTAGTCTCTGACGGGGCTGGAACGAGGATAAATCCGCTCCAGAGCGTTCTGGAGCGCTCTCGGAGCGTGCTGGAACGCTCTGAGAAGGCCGCGGCGCCCGAGGCATCCTCCAGAGCCGCCGGATCTCAGAGATTGTCTTAGAGCCCCGAATCATCAGCGGTAACTCTGGTCAGGGCTAACTCGGGTTCGTTTTTCGGGATTCCGATCCCGAGTCACCTTGGGCCCGAGTTACCCCGGACAATTCGGGCGTCCAGAATTCCAAAATCGTCAGGGGTAACTCGGGTCAGGGCTAGCTCGGGTTCGTTTTTTTGGGGAATCTAAGCTCGAGTTACCCTGGACCCGAGTTACCACGGATAACTCGGGCGTCCAATGATCGATTTAGTCGGGGGCGGAAAAGAGGGGGGTGATGACTAGGAGGGGGTGGATATCATGGCGGGGGCCATGATATTTCCCCAGATTTTATGGCGCCTCTTCTTATTTCATTACGTCCCTGGCCCCCCCGCTGGGCCGCGCACATGCCGCCGGCCATGATTTGCACCCCCCCCTCTTGGACACCTCCCTCTTGGCCGCTCCCGATTTAGCCTCACCTGATGTTATCCTCGTCCTGGCTTCGTCTCAACGTCCAGCTCGAGCCCTCCGGCCGCCTGCCGAGGCTCGGGGCTCGAGGCCTGCGGGCGCCCTCGCACCGTGGGCTCCGTGCGGCGCTTGGCGTGCCAGCGACGCAGGCACAGGCGTTCCGGACCGAGTTCTGCGACGCGGGAGCACCGAGGGACACGGTTCTCAGCGAACACAAAGGGTCATAACTATAAAAACTCGGAGGTCCGCGCGGATTTCTCGGATCGGCGCTGGGGCCCCCGGCGGCGCCTCCAGCGCCGCCCCTGGCGCGCTCCGCGCGCCAGGGAGGGGGGTGTAGCACCGGTCCGAGAACTCCGCGCGGACCTCCGAGTTTTATGCTTATGCCACTTTTTGTTCCCCTGGTGACGCCAGTGGACCCGACGCAATTCAACCTTGAAGGATCGGGGCCCCGATCGATGCAAGGCGGAACGATCGACGCGGTGTCAAAAAGGCCTGTGCGCGTGCCAGCGCCGCACGAACCTACAGCGCAGCCTCGCCGCGGCTTTGACGCCTCGGGAGGCGCTCCGGCAGCCGCGCCTTGCCGAGGACGTCCCAGGGGGGTGCCCAGATCGTCCCGCAGGGCCGCTGGAGAGCTGAGGCATGGCGAGGTGCTACCTGGGGGGGGGACACAGTATCCGAGGCGGGAATTTATACATGAACACCGCCTGGAGGGTCAGTTCTCGGAGCCTCGGCAGGCGGTTGATGCGGACACATTCGGGCCCCCAGGGGCTGACATGCATCCATATCCACCGCCCGCTGGGGCACCGGGACGTCGGTTCCCAGGCGGTGGATATGGATCAATCCCTGCCTCGCACCGTGGGCTCGGGGTGTGGGCCACCGCTGCGCCGGAGCGCCCACTCGTGGCCGGCAGGGGCCCCGACAGTCCACCCCGCTCGCCGCCCTGCCGGCGACGCATCGCCGAGTCCAGCTCTGTTCAAGCAGTGGCGAAGCGTCCGGGCTCGCCAATAGGCTCACCAAAGAATGTTCTAAGATTTTTTTTTGTGGTTTCCACGAAAGGTTCTGAGAACATTTCTGGCTGGGACTGTCCTGTTTTATCACATCGGGTTCACGTTCTAAGAAAACTGTTTCGGTTCTTAGAATAGTTTGGGTTCTAAGATCATTTCGTGGTAGGACTGTAGGAATGCTGGGACGGTCGGTCCCTGCTCAATCTGTGTCACCCCGAGCTGGTCCCCCCGCAGCGTTGCCCCTCGCCTCTGCAGGGATGAGGGTTTTTTCGAGTACTCCAAATCCCTTCTTACTCGTCCCCCAGGTTCCTCTTTTTAAGGCGCCTTTTTTGTAACGGGGGGCCCGGTTTATCAGGGCGCTTTCTTTGGATTGGAGCTTTGGGGGTTCAGTTTATCAAGGCGCCCCGTCGAAGAGGCGGGTCTAGAATATTAGGTCACATTTGGAGGGGGGTCCGGTTTTTGAGGGGGGGTCGATTAAGAAGGGATTTGGAGTAGGATCGGTCATAGTCCCGAGTGATCAGCGTAGGGCGTGGCCAGGGCCCCCGCGAGTGCATCAGCGGGGGCGTGGTGGGGCGTGGTCAGGGCCCGTTGTAGGATCGGATTTGTGTCACCCGTTGGTTCGCCAGGTGTTTCACGCATGGCATTTCACGAAAGCTCTCCTGGACCAGATGTTGCCAACATAGAGGCGCTGTCCAGGCTTCTCCTGGCACAGGAGTGATTTCCCAGACCACGCACGGAAGGCGCCAACATAGTTGGTTTGGGCGCATCCTGCATCATTCGGGTTCCTACGTGGTTTATGGATGCCGGCGCCGTGGACTCCAGCGTCCAGTGAGAAAGGGGACGGTTCTCTACGGAGGTCCATGCCAAGAGACGCCCTGCTTGCCCCCTGGGTGCCCTTGGTTTCTTGGGTTTCGATGGTCTTGCTATGGGAAGCGTGACGTTCCCCCACCCAAAATCAATGGGCATCCTGGGGTCTCAGGGTTGGGTTTCCTGTGGAAGGTTTCTTGTGGTCGAGCCTCTACTGTACCACCCCTTGGGGACCGCCTGATGCGCGGGGACGCGTGCGGTCCCCCATCGGTTCTCTGGTTTATGGGCCGGCGCGGCTGCATATAGAGTGACAGGAACTAGAAGTCCTCCCCCTCCCTCCTCCTCCCCCCTCCTCCGTCCCTCCTATTTCCCCCTCCTCCCGCCTTCCTCTTCCCCTCCTCATCCTCCCCTCCGTCTCTCCTTCGCCTCATCCTCCCCTTCGTCCTCCTCATCATCCTCTTTCTCCTCTCCCTCGTCTTCCCCCCATCCACAATTTCGCAGTATGAGTACGATTATCCCCTCTCCCCTGACCCTCTCCAGGAGAATCTCGACCCTCTGCGCGTATTTTGCACACAGGGTCTCAACAGTTTGTTTCTCACGATCTTTAACATTCCGATTATCCCCGACGTTTCAACATGGTGTTCCCGCTGCAGCGTGGGACTCATCGTCGGATCGGCGCTGTGTTCCCGTCGTTCAGAATGGCGCTCTCGTCGCAACGCGGGCCACTTCTCTGGATCCGAGTCCTTTTTCGTTCTTGTCGCCCCCCTCGTTTCCTCTCCTACGCCTCTCCCCGGTCCTCCAGCTCCTTCGATCCCTTCTACTCCAGCTCCTGCTGCTGCTGCTGCTGCTGTTCGTCCTTGTCCTTCTCCTTTATCCCCCTTTTCCTCCTGCTCATCCTCCTACTCATCCGCCACCTCCTCCTCCAATGCTCGCAGCTCCCTCTTTTCCGATTGCCCTCAACAGGATGGGGTCCTTTGTGGAGTTCCAGGTCCAGTACGATACGCGCCGGCACATGGAGAAAAACCAGCGCAATGGGAAGGGATGGGTGCGAGGGGTAGGATGTCAGATCAAGCTAGCCTTCGCACCTAGCTTGTCCTCCCCCATTCTCCTTACTCCCTCCCTTCTCCTCCACCTCCCCCCCTCCACCTCTTTCCTCCTCCATCTCGTCCCTCCCCCTCCACCTCGTTCCCATCCTGCCTCTTCCTGCTTCTCATCATTTTCGCCTCTGTCCTCGTCGCCGCTGTCGCCGCCGTCGTCGTTGTTGTCGTGCCTTCGTCAACGTCGTCATCGCGTTGACATTTGATTCGTTTTCCCATGCGTGGG